TGAACTGGAATACCCGGTATATCGTTGATTAAATACTAGCCGAATGATATATATTATTTTATTGACGGAGAAACAACTTTTTTGTTTCCTGTTGAGAGCACTTGCGAAATATTTAAGTTGACCGACAGAGAACATGTGTTATTACTCTGCTATACAAGTCTCCTTTTGTATTTCGCTGCCAAGAATTCGTCGTATTCTTTTCTGGCTGTTTTGACATTATTGCGCCATTGTCTCTACACATACATACTTAGATTGGACGTCTGTCCATAATTCTGAGAAGCTCACCAAGTTCAACAATACAATACAGCTATTCAAGTTTGCCTCGAATTCTAATCCACTGGCAGCATTTTTACGTATTTCGTTCCGAGTTGCATTGTACGGTCAAGTCTTTCTGCCCACTTACACGCATATATGGCATATAGAACTCAATCCAAGTCACGAGCACATCCAGATAACACACTTTCCTATCTTGCTATACAGCGCTCGCTCGAGATGGTGACGTTAAAATGGCCGCAATGTCAGTCAGAGAAATGGAAAGGTATGGTCCTCGACTGATATGTTTCTATCTCAATGCAAATTTGCCAAACTGTACGCCCACTTATCCTTACTCGCTCACCAACTCATCCATCGTTTTCCTTTTTGTCTTCTCCGTGGAAAGGTTTCTGGAGTTGGCCACAGCCACCGGGGGGCATGAGAACGAAGTGGATGCGTTATATTGTGCGAGTATGTGGGCATTTGAAGGCATCGGGCGCACAGATCGGCGAGCTTATGCGCATGAAGGCAAAAGGTATGCACATTCAGACGCATCTATGTGTATCGTGGTGGGTCCGGTTTTTGACGGGTATGTGTATGTGATTCCGTGATAAGACCAAATGGTTGTGGTGTATTGTACGAGTAAATGGTGGTTCGAAGGATCGAACGAAAATGAGATTATCAGTTATATTTGTGTGCAATCAGGTGAGTCGATTCTGGTATCTGTAGTACATGTATATCAGTCATGAGTCGAAGTGGTTTGCGTTGTACTTGTGATATAAAGCACGATAGTGAGCTTCGAAAAATCCACGTCTTTCGCTTTCTCAAGATGCAAGTAGTTGGTTATATATATATTAATATATATATATATATTGTTTTCTTATACGAACTGTCGATATTCCACGATACAGGTTATTCGAGCTGGCGCAAAGAGCCGAACGAGATTCGGGCGAGGAGAATACCTCCGAAGTCAAGCGCATCTGTGAGGTGTACATGTCACAGACAAATACACCTATTCCCGATAGATTACACACACCCGGACATGCACTCAATACCACAGGACCTCCACTACCTAGTGCTATAGACTTGGGTGTGGGTGTGGGAGCGGGTGTGGGTGCCGGTGCAGGTGTGGGTGTGGATGGGGGTGGGTTATCGGGCACAGGGAGGGAGTGCCACTACTGCCAAACGGTGACCACGGATCTGAAGAACTGTAGTAAATGTAAGCTTAAGTGTGTATGTACCGCAATTAATCCTGTACATATACGTGTACATATGTACATGCAGAGGTGGTATGTGTGTATGAGTTTGAATACGATGTGGTTGTGTGCAGATGTATTATGCGAATACTACTGTCCAGTGGTATAGTTTAGGTTGTGGGTGTGAATATGATGAGGTAATTGCACAGGCAGGGAGGGTCACCACTGTTAGATGGTGACTACGGAGCTGAATAAATGCAGCAAATGGAACCCGAAGTTTGTATGCATCGTGCATGTATGCGTGTACAAGTACATCGTATAGGTAGAAGTGTTATGTATTTATGAGATTGAATGTGATGCGGTCGAGTGCAGATGCCTGTCGTTGGGGTGGATGCAGGTAAACCCCTGCAAACGTCTATAGACCCAACCCAAGTGTGTATGTGGTGTGGGTGTGGTTGTAGCTATCCATTGGATTTGGGAGCTCAGGCAGGGTGAGATGGATGGCAATGTTTCATAGCGGAAATGTAGAGCTGTTGCAAATGGGTAGACGTGCGCTGCTTCTAACTATAGTGTCTACCAAAAGGGCTACACGACGTTGTACACGACAGTCAGATAAAGCATTTGTTTGCCATTGCGGGCACATACACGAGTGCATGTATCTTTCTTACTTGTCATCAACTATTTATTCTCAATTGTATATGCTTTTTTATTTTTAACTCTATCTACCTATTTTATAAGTATTGTAAATAATTATAACATCCCCCCTTGTGTGCAGGTAAAACGCCGGCGTATTGTGGAGTGGAATGTCAGCGCGCCGATTGGCCTCGGCATCGGAAGGTATAGTCCGTCTGTTTAAACTAGAGACAACCTCTTACTCCTCGATCGTTCCATTCCGCTTCGTACCGTTCCATAGCCTATCGTACCGTTACATAACGGTTCGTCCCGTTTCGCTCTGTTTACGTCTCGTTTTATTGAATGAGCTCAAGCTAGTTTGTTTCCCACTGTGCGCACACGCCTACTTTATAGATATGCCGGCCCAGACGAACCCCAAAAAAACATGCACTGTCTATTCAACCTTTACCTCGTACTTAAAAGTATCTATCAGATTTCTTTCATACCGTTTCGTACATTTCCTCACCGGGTTGTCCTGTTTTATTGATATTCTCCGGGTCGCTTTGATTCTCACCGTGCACACCTCGCTCACCTCGACAGATCTGCTGGCCCAACCAAACTCACAATATAACAATGGACCGCTCTGGTGCGTAGTAGAGACATCCCCTACCATGTGAAAGTAGTATGTGCTGGCACACCTATTATTCGGCCAAGGGTTGTTGCTATGAACAGTTCTGCGGTAGAAACTGTCGTATTCATATCGGTATATATCAATATAATAATATTTATACACAATATTAAATGATAATATATATAAACTATATATATATATATATATATATATATATATATATATATATATATATATAATATATATATATATAATAATATATATAATATAATAATAA